ACCACCACTTTTACTTCAGATACTTAAAAAGCCAAGGTGTTTTTATTTGGTTAAGTAATTTTGTTAGGATTTTCCTTTAAAAGTATATTTATTAGCTATGATATTTTGATGTGAAGACAAGACTAATTAGCTTGAGAATAGAAAAAAAATCCTTATTTCAAGAAGTATGGTAAAGAGCTCATTGCCTAGTCTACTTGAGAACTCAGCCTGAATTTGGGTAATTTTGCCACAGTGAAGTCATTATGAACCCTTGTATATAGCACTATATCTCTCTTGTTTCCTTATCTGTGAAATGGGAATAATAATTTATTGTATGGCTTAGGGCCTGGTTACCTGAAGGTAGGTCTCCTTCCATAAGTGCCTGCCTGCACTTTAAGATCTGGGGCAGAAACCCTTCTCTGGGTACCCTCCCTGAAGGAGATTAGGTGGGTAACTACCCGGAGAAGGGCCTTCTCTGCAGTGGCATCCCAATTGTGGAATTCGCTCCCCAGAGAGGTTTGCCTGGTGCCATCACTTTATTCTTTTCGGCACCAGGCCAAACCCTTTTTATTTTTCCAATATTTTAATACCTGCATGTTTTAATCGGGGTTTTTTATTGGTTAAATTTTAGGATGCTGTGTTTTTTAAAAAAATTACATTTTGTATTGTTAAACTGTCCTGAGACTTTGGTAATGGGATGGTCTACAAAATTAATAAATTAGTTGCTTCCTGCTTGCTTTGTTGAAAAGTCAGTTGTGTTACTAAAGATTAATCCTACCAAGGAACATATTAAAGAAAATTCAGCATGGGCTTTTACCTGGTTTGGGACCAGATCATTCATTCATTCACTTATTTATTGGCCACCTATGACTGCCAAGGCCCTCCTAGGCGGCTTACAATACATAAAACATATTAACAAAATAAAACACATTAGAGGGTGTTCCTTTCTCCATTTGCACCAGCCCATTCACTGCAGTCTTTGTCTGAAGCCCTCCTATGTGTTCCTCCCAGTAACAAAGTAAGGAGGGAGATTGCAAGGGAGAGGGCTTTTCCAAGTATAGCACTTCAGCTCTTGAATTCAGTTCTGCTGGAGGACTGGTTGGCACCTGCTCTTCTGATTTAGATGCCAACATAAGCTGTTCTTGTTCCATTGTTATTTTAATAGGTGAATTACTGATTTTTAGTGATTTTTAAAGATTTTATAGTATTAAATGTTGCTGTCTTCATGATTTTACTGTAAGTGCTAGATTATAGCACTTATAGTAAAGTAGATATTAATTAAATTTTAATTGCTTTATGTTTTTTTCTTGGATCCCTTGTATAATATTAATTTTATATATCTGTTTTGTTATTCTTATTTTAATTAATTTTGGTAGTTTATGGATTTTCATTGTTTTTGGTTGCATTGTAATTGTAGCATTAATTGTGTTGTATAATGTATTGTTTATTATGTTGTATATATATGAATTTTATCATGATGTAAGCTGCCCAGAGAACCTGTGGAATAGAATATAGAATGAATGAATGAATGAATTCATTGAGAGATGGGAAGATGGCAGCCTATCTTTATAGTTAAAAAAAAAGTGCCAATAGATATATGTATAAGCTTGTTGCAATCTTGAAAGAGACAACTAGGCTGAAGTAATGAGTGTAATACATTTGTGCATTGGCTGTCAAAGTGCCCTTAGAAATGGACATTGCATTTGACTATGCTATACTTCGGTGTTTCCCTCTAATTTGTATGCAGGATGTTATGTGAGACAAAGCATTAAACATAATTGTTACATTTAATACAAGATTTATTGAACTCTCCTTTCAATAGTGCCACCGTTAAATACTCTGTGAAATGAAGTGGTCATAACTTGACAGTATATTTGGCAATACGTATATGAGAACCAGTGTGGTATGGTAGCTAGAGTGTTGGATTGAGGACCTTGAAGATCTGGGTTCTAGTGCCCACTTAGCCATGAGGCTTACTGGTTGACTTTGGTTCAGTCACAGACTCTCAGCCCAACCTACCTCACAGGATTGCTGCTATGAGGATAAGATGGAGTTATCTAAGTTGCCTTGGGTTCCTCACAAGAGGAAAAAAGATGGATATATATATATATATATATATATATATATATATATATATATATATGCAATGTGATGGTGGTGATGATAATTTATTACTTTCTGATTTGTATATGAAGAGAGAGAAACTTCTTTGCATGTTTGCAAAAAATTCAATAATTTATGTTTTGCATACAGTCAATTCAGAGTGCCATGAATAAGCTGGGACACTAATAATATATATAACTTCCAAATGTCACTAAACATGATTCACTACTTTGCCTGATGTAATAATTTCCATGCTGCTTATTTTGAATGTATAGTGGTGTGAAGTACTGTCAAACTTTTTTTTAGTGACATTTGAAAGGAGGAGATGAATTAATTCAGTTGTTCTTAGTCATAATGCATTTTGAGGACACAAAAAGAAAGATTCTGTTTGTCTGCTTCCCTATTTTCTGAAAAGTTTGGTGTTCTGGAAAGGTTTTGCATGCAATTGTGCTAGGAAATATTCATAGAATCCATTATTTTTGGAAGCAGGTTGTTGTTACATTTAAAGGCTCAATACCAGAAGGCCTTTCAAAGCAGTAACAATTCTAGCAATTCAAATCGAACAAGCCCTGAGCAAAACTGTGTTTGAATAGAGCTGGCTTTCCAGCCAAAAACAAATAACTTTGGTTTAATCCTCTTAATTGGATGTGGGTGTGAACTCAAGGAAAACCTGCTTTCCTTTTCGATGAACTTTAAAAATGTGATAGAAGGCTCCTTGATTTTAAAGATGAGGAGTGTGTCCCAACCCAAGCAGCTTTTCATTTCCACAAATTTCACCAGGAATCTTCTTGTCACCTTCACACTGTTCAAAACTTCCAAACAGAATATGGAAAGTAGGTTAAATGGCTGTGGTACTATGGTAACACACCTGCTTTGTTTACAAAAGGTTCCAAGTCCTTGCATCTCCAAGTAGGGCTGAGAAAGACTCCTGTCTGAAGCCTTGAAGAAAGACTGCCAGACAGTACAGACAATGCAGAATTAAATAAACTGACCTGTCCTAATATAAGGCAAGCTTCCTGCTACTCTTGCGGTTATTAATCCCCAGAGGACAAAGCAAAGGGGGCTTCTTTCCTCTAAGCACTTTTTTGTGTTGAGAGAGAAAATATGAGAAAGAAGCTAGGTGCAACTAGGGCTGTGGATTAAGGAAATCACAAAAAAAATAAAAATTGTCCTCTTCTGATGAGCCAGCTAATCAATCCCCCCCATGTGTGCGTGCGTTTACATTTTTCTGCCTTTGAAATGGGTGGCACTGAAGCTTGTTGACTAGCAGGAGGCATTTGAAACAAACATATTTTCAGGGTGTGTCTCGGAAGCTGGGGATTCAAGGTTCTTTAGCTGCTGCTGGAGAGTTGCAGTAAATAGTACTGGGAGTGCAAGAGAAAAGAGACTGCCTGGATGAAGCGGCTTTGCTCATGGAAGAAGAGGGAAATGAACTCAGAACCATAGGAAAGAAATTGAAAACGTGTGACAACTCAAACAAGCCTCCCCGCACAATCAGACCTACAATTTTCCCAGGAAGGGAATGGGAAGAAAACTTTGTGGATGCTTGAATTAAAGAGCATAGACTTGTTCCTAAATGTCAGCCCATTGAGTGCTGTCCAGCAGCAGCCATCTGCAAGCAGGACCCACTGTTGCTTCCATTCTAGAAGCAGCAAATTCTGCCTATTCATCAGAGTGTTGGTGCTTTCAAGGGAATGCCTAAATGATCAGAGTTACTGAATTCTGAATGGGGTAGATTGGTGGAGTCCCCTTACGCAAGATCCGCCAACCTGCACTGTTCCAAAAATGAGTGTTTCTGCTTTTTATAGCTTGTCCCTGGAAGTGCTAAATTTCTGTTGCATAAGTGGTGCAGCTTGTTGTTTGTAGATGGTCAGCCCCAGATACCGTCCTCAATTTTAATAATATGAGTGTTGTATTGAGATCTTTCTCCTTGACTATTTGTAGCTTCCCAAGAATCTTACACAAAAGTCTTTTTTGTCCTGAGGGACTTGGTGAATGGGTTTGTCAAAGGCTTACCAAATGAAAGTGTTATAATCTGGTATTGAGGCTAAAATAGATAGATGAGCAATTCAGTAAGCATCCTTCTAATTAAAATGGTGAGATGTCAGACCTACTATAACTGTGAATGTTTATCCCATAGTCAACTTTTAAAATGTAATAGAACTGGTTTCAAAACATTTTGTTAATCTTTTTGTATTAATCTGTGTTAAAAGATTGTCTAATAGGATAATGATACCATCTAGTGGTGCAATATCACATTTACAACAATTCTGTTTATACAGGGGCCAGTAAGAGTCTGTGGGAAGTTCATAAACAGGGCATGAACCTCACTGTTCATGTCCTATTCACATTCCTAGCATTAGTATTCAGAGGCATACTGTCTCTGCTGCTGGAGATAATCTGTAGTTATACTGATTAGTAACATTAACAGCTTTATCTTCCCTGAATTTGTCTAATCTCCCTTTAAAGCTGTAAAGGTTGGTGGACATGACTACATCTTGTGGTAGAATGATCCTTGGTTCTAATACTGTGAGGAAGGGAGATAAATCTCCATCAGTCTACTTTTTCCACACTTCTGCGTACCTTTGTCATGCCTCTCTGTCTCCCCTTTTTGTACTTGTCTTTTTGCATGTGCTGTGCTAAAGAGCCTCAAGCATGGTAACCTTTTGTCTTCATTGTGGTCTCTGTAAATTGCACATATGGGCTGTACAGGGGAGTTGCTTCAACAACTTTGTAACTTTCACTTTTCCCAGTTTTATAATCTGAGGTGCAATGATCCAGACTGTACATTGTATAGTTACCTAGTCAGAAACAGTATTTGCCAGTCTAATATTTTAATGATGTTGAATTCAGATGAGATCTTGCTAAACATCTGTCCTGATAAACTTATCTGATTCGCTGTTTGTATTTTCCCCCAGAAGGAACTTAGTCTCCCTAGAAGAGGAAGTTTGTGAGTATACCTTTTTTATTCTTGTCTTAATATCAACTTAGGGGCAGTATCCAATACTGCTGCTATGTTCCTGCTGGTTTTTATATGCTTATGTGACCCACTGCTTGTGCAACAGGAAATAATACTTCTGACAGTAATCTTGAAACAAGCAGAAATACTAATCTCTGGCTTGGACAAGGATAGTTGAACACCTACAAGTTTCGCTGAGCTGCTCTGATCTAGAAATGAGTATTTAAATCAATTCTGATTGATGCAGGGCTGATTGGCTTCTTGTTGCAGTAGCAGTATTGGATAATGCCCTGGTCTATAAAAATTGATAATGTTTTTGGATCTTTGACATGTAGTATAGGAAGTGATGGCAGGGAGAAGCCTAGCACAAATATTTGGTCTCTATATTGTAAAAAACATGATTTATTACATGATCCATAACCATGTATGATATTGTAGAATTAAGTCAGGTGGAAGTAATGGAATAGGATACAATGGAGACTGTTAAATTGTATTATTAAAAATTAAAGTTATTATTCATGTTTATGAGCCTTACTGTGTTTAATTTTAGAAGTATTCATGCATTCATGCTCTAAGGATTAATGGCCAGTATAGAGATCAATGGCAGATACTGTTTCTAGTTAGAGTACATAATATGTAAGTGAATCTTATGCCTAATACTGAAATGAGAGTGAACATATTGTAATTAAGACTTCTGTACTGAATATTCATTTCACTTTTTTTAAAAAAAGAAACTTTTTGTTAAAGGTACTATCTGTGATGCATCTGTGGCTGGTATGACTTAATGCTTTCCCCTGCAATGTCATGGCCTTTTCACCTTCTGCCATAGCATCTTCAGTCTGTTGTCCTGTTTACTTGGTACTATTTTGACTCTCTTTTCTGTTTTCTTTCTTAATTTTCCTCTACCAGTTTAGAGGATTCTGTGCCTTCTTTATCCCCTTTAGCAGCTCTTCTGTCAGCCTTGAGAACATTGATTTCTTTTCAAACTGATCTTTTAGTCCTTTTCAGACTGACCTGGTAAATTATCATTAAAGGTAAAGATATGTTTGTAGTCACATACTATGGCTGAGTTTGCACATGATGTGAATTGTTACTGTGCAGTTACCTATCTTATGTTTTGTCCTGGGTTCACACATTTGCATGTTAGCTGCTCATGAATAGTTTCCATGTACCTCTGTCTTTCTTACAAATGGTGGTATGTATCCCATCAGCCCCCACAGCTGGGAATCTATCCCAGCATGCACCACTCCTGTCTGCCTCTTCCCCCCTCCCTTATTGGCCCCTTGATGTATTCTTAGTCAGCTGCTTATTTTGGTCTTACTTTTTTGCTGCTCAGCAAAGTAACTGCCTACCTCCTAGAGTAGCACTGATGCTCTAGAGGAACACTGCAGGAAAATCCCATTCTGTTGCTCTGTTCTGAACCAATGTGTAAACACACCTATCCACATAACCACATCTATGCTCACCCTTACTGCACATGTGTCTGCTTGGCATGCAGCCATGCACAGAGCTTGCACATGTTGCCAAGGGCCACCTTCCCCTGCTCCCAGGTACATGGAGGACAGCTGCATGGGTACCTGTGCCAGGGATGGTGGGAGCACATCCTATGGGAAGAGTTTCCTGCAGGATCACATGTGAACATCTTCAGAAATATTTCTGGCTGGCCAGAAGGAATATGTCACACAGCTATTTATTTTTATTTATTTATTTAAAACATTTCTATGCCGCCCCATTGCAATAAGCCTCGGGGCGGCTCACAACATCAAAAAAGTCAACCATACATTAAAATCCCCAATACAGTAAACCCCCCAGTACCATAAAACCTCAATAAAACCTCACTGCATTCTCGGCTAAAAAAAAAAAAGACCTAGTTAAATAAATAAACTAACAATTAAAATACGTTTTAAATAAAAAGGTCTTAGCCTGGCGCCGAAAAGCAAATAACGATGGCGCCAGGCGGACCTTCCTGGGGAGCGCATTCCATAAATGGGGTGCCACCGCCGAGAAAGCCCTCCTCCGGGTACTCACCCTCCTGATGTCATTCACAGATGGTTCCCGGAGAAGGGCACCTGCTGCTGACCTCAAGGGGCAGGAGGGCATATATGGGAGTAAGCATTCCTTTAAGTATCCAGGTCCCAAGCCTTTGATTGGTAGAAAACGAGAGGTAGAGCTGGGTATCATCAACGTACTGATGATTCTGCAGCCCACACCTCCTGATGACCTCTCCCAGTAGTTTCATGTAGATGTTAAAGAGCAAAGGGGACAAAATGGACCTCTGCGGAACTCCATGGCATAGCTGCCATGGCGCAGAGCCATAGTCCCCCAGCACCACCTTCTGAAATCGGCCATTGAGGTAGGAGCGGAACCACTGCCATGCGGTGCCTCCAACTCCCAATCCCTCCAGCCTATTCAGAAGGATTCCATGGTCGATGGTATTGAAAGCCGCTGAGAGGTCCAGGAGAACTAACAGGGATGCACTCCCCCTGTCTCTCTCCCTGCACAGGTCATCGTACAGGGCGACCAAGGCAGATTCAGTGCCATACCTGGGTCTGAAGCCGGATTGAAATGGGTCTAGATAATCAGTTTCATCCAAGAGTGCTTGGAGTTGTCCCGCTACCACCTGCTCTAGTACCTTGCCCAGGAACGGGATGTTGGCCACCGGTCTATAATTGGCGGCCACCTCTGGATCCAGGGATGCCTTCTTTAGGACTGGCTGGACTACCGCCTCCTTTAAAGGGGCATGTACCCGGCCGTCTCTTAAAGAGGCGTTGACCACCTCCAGGATCCAGGTCCCAATCCCGTCCTTGGCTTTCTTAAGTAGCCAAAATGGGCATGGGTCTAGTAAGAAAGTGGTAGGACGTACTTGTCCAAGCACCTTGTCCACATCATCAGGCTGCAACAACTGAAATTCATCCATTAATTGTGGACTCGATGGCGTCGATGGCAACTCCCCAGTGAAATCTGATTCAATAGCAGAGTCAAGCTCGTGGTGAATCTGAGTGATTTTCTCCCTAAAATGCTTGGCAAAGTCGTCACAGCAGGCCTTTGAGGGTGGCACCAGATCTCTCTTCGGGCCCGGAGGTAACAGCCCCTGCACCACCCGAAAGAGCTCCGCCGGATGGCATTGTGAGGAGGCAATGGAAACGGAGAAGAATTTCTTCTTCGCCATCCTTACTGCCACAGCTTAGGCCCGATAATGGGCTCTCAAGTGTGTTCGATCAGAATCACCCCGTGATCTCCTCCACCTACGCTCTAGACGTCTCCCAACCTGCTTCATCGCCCGTAATTCAGGCGTATACCAAGGAGATGAACGGGCTCTGCCAGGTGGGAGAGGATGCTTGGGAGCGATTGTGTCTATAGCCCTGGTCATCTTCTCATTCCACAGTTCAACCAGGGCATCAACAGGTTCACCAGCCTTGTCAACCGGAAAATCCCCCAGAGCTTCCAGGAATCCATCAGGATCCATCCGGCTCCGGGGGCGGACCAGTACAATCGGGTCCGCACCCTTGCAGAGGGAAAGGCCGCTCTTGAGCTCAAACCTTATGAGGAAGTGATCTGACCATGACAAGGGCATCAAACTTAAATTCCTCACCCTCAGATCACCCTCTTCCTGCCCCGTCGAGAAAACCAGGTCCAGAGTGTGTCCACGTTCATGGGTCGGGCCTACGATGTGATGAGACAGCCCCATGGCCGTCATGGAGGCCATGCAGTCCTAAGCCGCCCCGGTTAGAACCGTCTTGGCATGGAAGTTGAAGTCCAACATCCTGGGAGTCTTCAACACCAGGTCCGAGACGATCTCCGTCAGCTCAGGTAGGGAGTCTGTTGGGCAGAAGGGTGCACGGTACACCAACAGAATCCCCAATCTGTCTCGGTCGCCCAACACCAAGCTATGGCAGCAGTGGGACAGTGAGGCTTCTTGAGAGTCCTTAGGAGTACCAGGGGCAAGATAGGAGCAGTGGGAGGACAGGAGAGAAAGCAGGAGACCAGAGCTTCTCAGGGTGACCACCCTAATTCACAGCCAGCATGCTCCTGTCATGCAAAGTGGGGCAGAAGGTAAAAGCCATGCAAGGGAGCCAATCAGGATGTGGCCACAGCTACCTCACTAATTGTGGGCAGAACAAGACAGTGGATAATGGAGGTTGGAGTGTCTGCTGCTGCCATGGTTGCTCTTGCACCAAACTTACTGGCAGAAATGGGTAAACTATGGAAAAACATTGTGAGTGAATTCACACTTCACAGCAAGCAGTGCTTAAATGTGGAAACCTTGAACAGAATTGATTCTCCATGGGGATTCAAGATAAACAAACATGCCACACTTCACTATACTTACTGAATCCACACACATCAACAAGCTGCTCCTGCCGTGACTTTGTTACATATGAACTCTACCTGTGTGGTGGGTGCATGGGAGAGATACTACTTTGCATACAAATACAGAGACTGCTTTTGGAGTTTGATCCACAGAATCACACTCTGAGTCTACTCTGCTTGTAGGCTGCATGCTGTTTTTCCCATGCGTTTCAGCAGTTGGATTTTAAACTCACAAGGGGACCCAAATCACCAACCTAAGGCTTGCAACTTTTAACTGTCCACTTTCTAGTCACATCAGAGAATTTCTTTTGAGAGCAGATCTCTTTCTCTTTTGTGCTCTGGCAGACTCAGATGAAACTTTAGATTTATAGACTTTTTCATAAGCACAGCAGGTTACAAAACAGTATAAATCAATGTACTGTTCTTTTTGAGATGTGAGAGAAGCATCTGCTCGTGTAAAGAGTTGAATCCAAATGGAAACTTTATCTCCTTTCCCTTTCCAAATAGAGTCTGACTTTGCATTTGGGATGGCAGGAAACATGGATTCTTCTTAATTAGTTAGCTTGTTTTGTCTATTGTCTCTTGACCAGGTCAAGGAAACTGACCCGGTCTGTTCCCCTTCCACTTCTGAAGTGTCTTCCTCTTTTACCAAGGTGGGCTGGTTCTCAAACTTTGCCTGA